AATAAGTGTATGTGCATATTGACGCGGGAGTATCACATGGTAAAGGAGGCTCTTATGAGCCATAGTAAAGGATGGTTCCTATGAACCAATGGTAAAGGAAATGGCCAAATTTTATGTACCTGATCAGTACAAGTGATACTCCTGAGACGGGTGTTATATTTATATATTATACTATTATGAACATTTCATATTCATGTTATATGCATTTGAGACTATCATGTGAGGCAAAATGTTAAAGGAAAAATGAAAATGTTATGAAAGGAATGAGAACTTGAAGGTTGAGGAAAAGGTATGCATCTCTTTGAGCAAAAGTTGGTATTTGTTAATGATTTTTTGTTACAATACTAAAGCATGTTATAGTTTCCTTTTATTGGCTCTAAATTCATTTAAATTCCATTCGCACCTATTGAGTTTATGACTCACCTTCATTGTGGGAACACTTTTCAGGAGGATCTAGGAAAGGATAGATGGCAGACCAACCACCGCGCACTTACCGTCGTAAGGAGAAGACGGGCGTCATGTTCTTTTGAGTTTTGTTATTTTTGTTGATAGATGGTTGTTTGTAGATTTTTGAGAGAATTAGATTTATTTTGGATCCTCTCTTATGGAAGAACTCTCTATGTATATGTTTCTTTTGAAGATGAATGAGAAATGAAAATTTATTTGGATTTGCATTAGTGGCTCTTTCCTTTTTATAGTAAAGATGTTAATTTATGTTGGATGATTTAATGTTATGCTATGGTAACTTGTCTCTTTTCCCGTCCGACCTCTGTTCCCGCCTCGCACTTGCGAGCTAACCGGGCCGGGTCGTGACACATTTATTCGTATATTTAGACGGTGCTCATGTACTAATTGAAAGGAAAAATGAATACATGTCAAATGAAAAAGAACGAATCAAACGAAAAAAGGAAATGAATTACTTGAAAAGGTTAACTATAAGGATATACTGCATATAAAATGTTATATATGTTTAATTGTATAAGAAATGAAAAAGAATATGAATGTGTAATGTGTATTTTATATATGCTTAAATGTTATAAATATTAATGGTGATTATCCACTAAGTTTATCATGTAAACTCAAACTGTAATACTAAAATTTTCAGGTAAGTCTCCTGATAAGTAGAAATTGCCGAAAAAGAAAAAAATGTGTGCAGAAGAAGACAATCAAATGAAAACAAGTTAAAAAAGCTGATTTATGCGTATGTTTATATTTTTAATTTGTTAGTGACTCTTTAGTTTATGGATGATGTTAATTTTTTAACTGTTTATGAATTTGAATAAAATGAATTAACCGTCAAACCGTCCGTTCATGCCTCCTTAATTCGAGTCTCTAAGCCTGGCTGTAACATTTTTCATAATGATGTGATCCCAAACCTACTTCACAAGATTCACCATAACAACATCCAAAAACTCTCATTAGCTGCCCGCCCAAATCAACAAGCAGAAATCAGTTGTCACACATTGAGAGGAATGTCGTTGTGCCAAAAGTAATGCATGTATAGGATGTGGCTCTAACAACCCCTATGGAAACTTAATATCTAGAATGTCACATTTTCTTTTAAGGTAATATATTTGTTAAACATTCCCACTCAACAAATCGTCAATCAGCAACATGGATACCACAATAACAGGAAGCTCCTGCTACTAATTGAAGATGCACTGTGAATATACTATAAAAGATGCGACCCATAACGAATTCAAAAACAGTGTTGTCATTGTTGATGAAGTTAATGCGGTCCAAAATGCAGTAGTCTAGGTAAGTGCTGACACTCTCCATTACATTCATAGGACTTTCCTCACAAGAAAACCATTGTTCTCCCTTCTAAGCCAATAAATACAGCTTCAAAGCAAAAATCAAGAAAGTTGGATTGATCCATGAGGTTATCTTGTTCATCATACTCTCCATTACATTCTTACGCATAGAAAATAATTTTAAGAGTCCACTAAGACAGACAATTTGATTAATTAAACTTACCCTTTGTCCAAACATTATAGTACTTGATGTCTCTCCGCGATGGCGTGGAGATGGACCGATTGTCACAACCAATGACGTTCTTGCAGTTCCTGTTAAGGTTCTATATGTGTAAGTAATTTAAAAGTAACAAGCTTTATGCACTGAATATAAGATTGATTCATTAGAGAAAAGTTGTAAATATAACCAGATCAGAAATCAACTAACAGTCTAGATGGCATTATGAATCAACATATTAGCAAGAAGTAAGAACATGGGATGACAATAAACCAGAAGGTCAAGTAAAATACAATTAAGCACACGAATCCTAAACAAAGAATTCCAAAAGCTATTATAACGTAGTGGAAACCACTTCGCATGTGGTGATTGTTTGGCATGACCATGTGTGATATATTCCTATAAAAAAAGACACGTGGTAATTTCTTGCAAATTCTCAGGTAATATTGACCTTGTATATGAGGATGGATTATATGCATATCATAATATAAATTTATAATACAATTACAACAAAATTTGCCCACTTCTTAATCAAAACATGTTCATGGATTCAAGTAATGACATTTGACACTCTCTGTCCTTTCACCTGGACCAAAATTTGTGGCATTAATAAAATAATTAGTAAAATCTAATTATATTTAATGTTCTGAATATTTAATTGAAATTGCTAATTTCAGTGAACAAGCAAATTCATTGATTCAGCTAATAAAAATAATTACAATAATAAATTATGAATTTTTATATAATCATTAAGATTATTTTTAACTTACAAACACTTGCGCATCAAATTATTTCAATTCAAGTCATCACCTGATTAAAATTAATAAAATTTAATTTGTATAGATTATTTTTTAAATTTTATTTATTAATTTTAATATATTCCCATGAAGTGCAGAAGCAGGTGACTAGTATCATAGTATGCTATATAAGTTAAAGCATGAAACTTTTTATAGTTTCCAATTCTACCCCTGTAAATATATTAAAATTCCAGAACTGTCCCCCATGCAAAGAGCATACAACTGAAAGAAGAAAACAAAATGAGTTTCCATCCCTCCTTATAGAATTGAATCTTCAAAAGGACCTTACAGAAACTGAAAATTTTTGTGGGGTTAAATTGTCCTTACTCATGTAGTTAGGTGAAGTATTACATGCCTAGTTTTCCTTTAGATGTTACTTTGCCTTTAGGATTTTAATTGTTTGGTTTTTAACTCTTTATGGTTGTTTTTTTAATCTTTTTGTATTAGTTTAAACTAGATAGGCTAAGTAATAATAATACCAAATTATTTCATTTCATTTGTCACCCGTGCGACTCTTTCACAAGGCCGACTCATAAATTTGATTCCTTAATGAGCGGCAATTTAGCAAGTCCATTTCCCCTGTGATATCTCCATGCAATCCATGCAACTTTTGTGCAGCCGCTACCCTTTCCCAAAACAAAGGTTCATTCACTACATGTTTGTTCATCTATAGGAGTTTTGCTACCCATTTTGTCCCACCAAGACAAGTTCTGCCCTCCAAAAGAATATAATGTGTTCGCTTAGGAAAAGATTGCGCTATGGCATGAACCTTGCTCTCTCAAGCCTAAGGTCCCATTTTTCCTGAGGTGAATTGGATTTTAAATTAACTAGATTTCCCCCGATGATCGGCATTAGGGTTTATTTAGTTCAGAGGATCCACTTCCTATGAGCGCAAGCCCTCATAATTAATTATCCCTCCTAACGCGTAAAAAAGAACTCTCAATTAAGGATGAATCAATCTTTAGACGTACAATAATTTTTATTTTTGTTGTGGGAGAGATGGAGGTAGACCCAATCAAGTTCTCATGGTTCCATCATCCAAGGTATGTCGTAGGTTTCAATTTAACAGCACTAGCGATCATTGAACATACTGCCCAAGAAATCTAATTAGCAGCCATGAGTCGTCCACTCAGAGATCCAGAGTAAACTGAAAGGGTTAAAAGTAGGTTTTGATGGTTTGGGTTGCATATGACTTCTATATTAGAAGTAGCCTACAATTTTAATTTTAAAATGGAGCTCACGACTTCCGTTGGAAGTAGCTCGTTTATTTGGAAAGTTGGGTCTTACTGTTTCTATTAGAAGTAGCCCAGTTGTTTGCATGAGTGGGTCATATTGATTTCATTAAAATTTGCCCGTTGGTTTAAAGAGGTTGGGTCTTATTACTTTCATTAAAAATAGCCCAAACAGCGGGTCTTATAACTTCCCTTGGATGTAGCTCATAGTTTAAATTTAGATTGGGGTCTGACGGCTCTTTTTAGAAGTTGTCCGAGGTTTAATAAGTTTTGAGAAGCGGGTCTTACTGATTTCATTAAAATTAGCCCGTTGGTTTAAGAGGTTTAGGATGTTCACTTAGAAGTTTCCCTAGCATGCGGGTCATACTGCTTCACTTAGAAGTAGCTCGTTTGACAGGCTTATGGCCTCTATTAGAAGTTGCCAATGTTATCAAGGATGTGTTATTTATTTTGGCCTCTATTAGAGTTGAACCATGTAGTGGGGTTTAGGGTTAGGTTGCTTCTATAGTTTTACCTAGAGATTTTTCCTAAAGTCAAATTTATGACTTTTATTAGAAATTGTCGACTTAAACTTGGGTTAGCAGAGATCTAGTCTAGTGGGGTTTTGGTAGAAGACATATAATTTTGCATTTGAGTGAGTCATATTGCTTTTATTATAGGTAGCCCATATGCTTCAATTAGAAGCTTCCCCTAATTTGTATGGAATGGGGTTGATTACCCCCTTTAGAAGATTTGTTTCTCCCCTTGGGAGGGTTCATAACTCCCATTTGGGAGGTTGTGTGTATTAATTTAACTAGGATTTACCCTGCTTTAGCTAGTAGTTTCTATTATGCTAGCTTTAAAGTAGTTAAGCACCCTACCACCCGACACCAGTGCTTTCTACCCTAGCTTTTAATATTTTACTGTGGTTTTGTTTGTAGTAGTGCTCATAGCTTTTTTACTTCAGTATCTTGTCTTTTTGCTTTAGTATCGTTGTTTTAGCTTCAGTACCTTCTTTCCAACACTTTGTTTCATCTACAGTTCTAGTTTTCTTTCAACACCAGTTTTTCCTAGAGTAGTAGCTTTTCTTGTTTTGTTATAGTACCTATTTTTTCCTACAGTAGTAGTTTTATTTATTTCAACACTAGCTCTTCTTCATTTCTCCTTGAGAGAGCACATGCACTTTTATTTTCCAATACGGGCTTGTATTGTATCTCGAAGTCATATCCCAATAACTTGACAAGACACCACTGATGCTCCTCTTTCACCATCCTCTACTCCAACAGGAACTTCAAACTCAGATCATTCCTGACTATGAAGTACCGCCCCAACAGATAAGGCTGCCACTTCTGAATTACTAACACTATCATTATTAATTCTCTTTCATAGACTAATTTCAATCTGGCCCTAGCCATAAACACTTGGATGGAATAAGCTATGATCCTCTGCCCTTGCACGAGAACTGCTGTCAACCCATAACCTAATGCATCTGTCTCCACTACAAACGGGTGGCTCAAACCTGGTAGTGCTAACACAGGGACACTAGTCATGCCTTTCTTCAATTGCTCAAATATCTACGTGGTTGTCTCCCCCCATTTGAAATTATCCTCTTCAGCTGCTCTGTCAATGGCCATGCTATAGAACTATATTCCTTCACAAACCTCATATAATATCATGTGAGTCACAAGAACCCCCTAAACCCCTTCAAGATTTTAGGCACTAGCCACTCCACCATTGCCTCTATCTTGGTTGGATCTGCCGACACCTCGGCTTGAGATACTATATATCTCAAGTACTCCACTCTATGTTGTGCAAAAGAGCACTTCTTCAAGTTGGCATATAGTTGATGCTCCTTCATATAGTTGATGACCCCCTACAAGTTCATGTGGTGACTCCTAACACGTAGCATTTTATCCCATACAGGGTTCATAAGGTGACTCTCATGGCATAACACTTTGTCTTGTATTGCTCTGATACCAAGATATTATCCTCTTTGGCCTAAGGGCCTCACAATTTTGTCTCATTGGTGTAACTTCCCAAGAGATCACCCATCCCAGTATTTATCCCCCCACTATCCACCAAAATCGCCAATGCTTCCCCACATATTTATCCCCTCATCTTCATAATGTGATTTGAGGTGAATCTCACTATAGAATTCAGCAAAACCTCTGCCACCTCCAAGTATAAGTGCTCCTCTTCCTCTACTACTTCTCCTTTTGCCTCTGCTCTGCCTGTCTCCTCCTCATCACAAACGAAAAGAACCTATAATGTGTGGTTTTTACATCCATGGCCCGGTGTAAACTTCTCATCGCACCTAAAACATAACCTCTTAGATCGTTTGTCCTGCAGCTCTGCATCAATCAGTCGTTTAAAGTTCCCTCCCAGCCAAGCTAACAAACCATTTTTCTTTTGAGCTTCTTTTTTACCCAATACAATTGGCATTCTAGCTGCAAGGAAGGTGGTCATCGTGCAGTAAGAACCTCCAAAACTCCATCTTTGGTACTCCACTCAAGTGAGTTATTGTCCTCTATCAACTAAGCTAACTCTGTAGCTTCTCCCAAGTCATGGGGTCTTTCACCCGCACAGTGACTCTCAGCTCTGGTTTGAGCCCCTTCATGAAATGGCTCTCTAACACCGTCTCTGACAATCCCCCTAAACATCCCGATAGAAGCTCAAATCTCTCTCGGTAATCCATCACCATTCCCACATGTATTAAAGCAAAGAACTGCTCATAATAGTCCCCCTCCTTCTTGGTTCGAAAGCGGTCCAATAAACAATCCTTAAACTCCTTCCATGAACGGATTAGATACCTCGTCTCCCTCCATTAGTACCATGACAGTGCATTCCCCTTGAGACATAGAGTCGCCACCATAAACCTCTCCCTTTTCGTCAACCCGTTCATCTCAAAATATATGTCCACTCTATAGATCCACCCATGAGTCTCCTATCCTTCAAACACCAGCATTTTTAGCTTCCTGACCTTCGGATCTCCTCCAGCCCAATTTCCCCTTCCAGCCCCCGTGCCTCCCATGAAATGAGCAGTGAAGTCTCTCCATGGTTCCCTCTCCTCCCTTCTCCTTTTGTACC